GAGGTTGTCAGTCCCTCGGCCTGGAGAAGTTCAGTTCCATAGTCAGGAACTATCTGAGATAGTTCCTGACTATGGAACTGAACTTCTCCAGGCCGAGGGACTGACAACCTCAAATTCTACGACTTCAAGGGTGATGGACTGATTACATCGTCTTCACATCTCTACTGTTCCTGCCTACTTTCTGTATTCGACTGAAGAAGCCTACTGTGTAGGCGAAACGTTTCGGAATAAAGTTGCCTAACTGTTGCCTACGTGTCTTACCTACCAACCTGTCGGTATTGTATACCATTTTCATTTTCAAAGTGGTTTATATAAAGATAAAATAAAGGGAGGGAAAATATAAATGGACACGGAAGGACAAGTGACAGGGAGCTTCCCACGCTACACCTGAGTTTTGGGACTGTAATAATCAAAATTGTTTTCTTGTGTTCCTTATTCAGCTATAACAAGACCAGTTCTTTCATTCCCTCACTATAAGTGAACAACAACACTCTCTGATAAACCTTTCCTTGGTTCTTTAAAATTCTTGGAGTCACCGATTACCTCAACGGACTACTTTGACAAATGACGGAGAACGTCGGAAAACCAACGCTGTCTTCACTGGTGAATGCGGCTTATATAACTTTTTGTAAATCGCTTGTAAGTGCATGCATTTGAAGAGTTAAGGACCAGATATGTTGTTGAAGGCTTTGATGAATAGCTCTCGAGTAAGGAGGAATCACAGATATTCCTTGATCTATTCTTTACGTGACTTGCTGAGACAGCAAAGACAATTAGCTCATCCTGTGAAGACAAGGCAGACAGACTCCTAACAAATACAGGTTAGGTTGGAGGGAGATCTCCTTCATCTCATTAATCTGATAGAACCGTCAGTGTAGATGCGCTCAAGGTTGGAAGGAGGCTACTTCCTTCCCGTTATTGTGATAGAACCGCCAGTGTAGATATACTTAAAGCATGAAGGCGGTAACTTCCATCCCTTTAATAGAACAGAACCATCAATGTAGGTACATTTAAGAGGATGGAGGCTACCTCCATCCCATTACTGTGGTAGACAGAATCAACACTGTTGATTTCATCCAATTTTTTATTTTACTGCCTTTTTTTTTCCACTGAACGTTTGTATCGTTGTTTCTAACTTAGTCATCATTCTCATCTCATATTGATAATGTGTTTCTGATAGGAGGCTCATATGATCTGTTATATTTGATTCTGAGCACTTTGGCAAGACAATTATCAAATGAATGATATTCAATGTTTCCTTTCGTGGGGTGGTCAGCCTACCTCGGTGGCAACTGTGCAGGGAGATGTAGCTAAGCAGGAGTCTACTGTCAGAGCTGCATCCACTTTTGTTGCCACCTCCAAAGATAAGAATTACAGGAACCATGATTCATTAAGCATAAGAAATAACAACTGTGTTTCTGCATTGGAAACTGAATTGTTTACCGTCATAATGGCATTAATAACTAATGCCACTAAGCTTGACTTCTGATTCTGTGTTACACCAATACACAAAGGTGGTGACCCTACAGATGTAAACAACTACAGGCCAATATCAAACTTACCATTGCTATCCAAAATCTTCGAGAAACTCGTGCACAGGAGAATATATTCATTTATAACGTCACAAAACATACTCAACCCCTGCCAATTTGGATTCAGGAAAAATAAAAGCACTGATGATGCAATTATAAAAATGCTAGACCTGCTTTACACAGCATTGGAAAATAAGGAATATCCGCTAGGAATTTTTATTGACCTAAGAAAAGCGTTTGACACAGTAGACCACAGCATCCTACTCCACAGACTTGACCACTATGGTATAAGAGGCCATGCGCTTGCATATTTTAAATCCTACCTTTCTAATAGGCATCAGTATGTCACCATTAAATACACAGCCTCATCAATACGGCCACTTGATACTGGAGTTCCGCAGGGAAGTGTCCTTGGACCCCTGCTCTTCCTCATTTACGTCAATGATCTTCCAAACATATTCCAACACCTGAAACCCATTCTCTTTGCTGACGACACGACTTATGTCATCTCCCACCCTAATCTTGCCACCCTCAACACCATTGTTAACAAGGAGCTGCTCAAAATATCGACTTGGATGACAGCCAATAAACTTACACTTAACACTGGCAAAACCTACTATATTATGTTTGGCAGCAGAGCAGGTGTTGCGCAACTTAACATTAAGATCGACAACACTCTAATTGCCAGACATAATGAGGGCAAATTTCTTGGCCTATACCTCGACAACAACCTAAATTTCAGTACCCATATCCAACACATAACAAAAAAAGTATCCAAAACGGTGGGGATCCTCTCCAAGATACGATACTACGTGCCGCAAACTGCCCTTCTCACACTATACCATTCACTTATACATCCATACCTCACCTATGCTATCTGTGCTTGGGGTTCAACTGCAGCAACACGCCTAAAGCCAATAATAACCCAACAAAAAGCCGCAGTATGAATAATCACTAAATCCCATCCCTGGCAACACCCCCCCCCCACTCTTCATAGATCTAAACTTACTCCCTGTTCAGAACATCCACACTTACTACTGTGCAATCTATATCTACAGGACCTTAAATTCCAATATTAACCTTGGCCTAAAACGCTTTCTTGATAGTTGTGACAGGATCCACAGGCATAACACCAGACACAAACATCTCTATGACATTCCCCGTGTTCGACTAAACCTTTACAAAAATTCAATGTATTTCAAAGGACCTAAAATCTGGAACACCCTACCTGAAAACTCTAGAACTGCAGACACATTCATCACTTTCAAAACTACAGTTAAAAAAACATCTTATTTCCCTGATCCACCCCGACAACTAACTACATGATAACCACCTGGTGGTTCACAATTACACTCACTCACCCACTGACTATAAACCCAGAAATACTAATCTTAATCTTAAAATAATAAATCCTAACTAGTCATAAGTTTGCCTATGAAACTCCAATATAGACACTTTGTATTGTGCCAAAACAAAAGCATTCACATTGCTAAACTCACAAATTATAATGTAGTCAATTAGCCTTAGTACCATAATCTGTAAGGATTTAATGTTAAGAATTAATCTAAGTCTGCCCGAAATGCCTAGCCATGCTAGGTGTCCTAGTGGCCCCCTCTGTAATTAGTATTTTATAACATGTAAACCACACAATACCCAAAACCTGTAAACCCCACATTGTAACCCTTATAGAGAATAAACTTGAATCACTGAATCCACGTGAATCACGTAATGACACTAATAATAAGCTCACTGAAGAAGCCAGGTACAGATATTAAAAATTAGAGAAAAAAGAATTAATGTAATTATTTTATGGATTCCATCACACACTGAATTAGTTCTACACAATAAATATGATAAATTAGGCAGAGAAAGAAACATGAAGAAAAAAGTAGAATATAACTTGGGTATATTTGTCTGTAGCTTTAGGAATAATGTTAAGAGGAAAGTAAATAATAAATCTGAATATCATAGGAATACAGTTAAAAGCCTGAGTAGATCTACAACTCACTGTGATAACATGAACGTAGATAAGCACATTTACGGAACAACTTGCAATGTGAACAGACTGACTGATGATGAAATAGCCAGACTTAGGTTTGGTTAAGAGGACTTCTAGCAGTTTGGCAGACACATGGATGATGATCAAACTATAATATATCTTTATTTCTACAAGTACATGTAGAAGGTATCCAGTCCTAGCTGACATCAGTGACATACTACTACGTATATAGAAAGTCGCTTGTTATGCAGAGCATTTCAGGCAAATTAAGTCAATTTTGTGCCAGGATGCGACCCACACCAGTCGACTAACAACTAGGTACCCATTTTTTACTGATAGGTGACATAGACAACCGGTGTAAGGAAACAGGCCCAATGTTTTAATCTTCGCTGGGAAACGAACCCGGACACTCACCGTGTGAAGCAAGAACTTTGCCACCAAGCCACGGGTCAACTAAGTTTAAAGTGTGTGGTCAGCCGTATGGTCACTCTCTTCACTATGTGCTTGGATGTCCACTTATTGAGGAATATAGAGATAAACAATATAATAATCTATGTGATATGTCAAGGAACCTTATTAATGAAAATAGGAAGACAGATATTTTAAGCCAGTAGCCTCAATTTGCTTACAACAGATAAAACATAAATTGAAGATAAAATGCAGATCAAGACGCACTTCTGTTAACCCTTTTAGGGCCTAGTTTCAAGGTCTTTTGAGAATCCATATGATCTTGCGCTACCGTTATCAGGATTAATATATAGTGCCCCATAAACTAGCCGAATCGGCAGCAAAATCTAAATCTAAATCTCAGGGTCACTTATTGGCTTACAATGTAAGCTCATCAGCTACGTTAAATCTAACAAATATCTTGGAGCAGACGCATCCTTCAGTAAATCTATCACACCAAACATTAAATAAGAAATGTAAAAATAAGACAAATGCTATCAGATATTTTCTGGCTTCAATTCCAACTATGGTGAGAATGTATAAATAATGAGAATAATGTATATAATGTATATTAGTTCCTCAACTTATAATGCTCCACCCATGTTAATATTTGTTAAAGGAACACCTCTTCGGTCCTTGGAACTAACGTAAAACGAATCCCTCAGAGTTAAGCTTCCCTCTACAATACATATTAAGTTGCTTAATATGAAGAAAGAACTTAATATTGCCAGTGTCAGCGACAGGATAAGTGAACGTTTAGCTCACCCTGATCTTTATCAATCAAATGATTGAACTGAAACAGCTTTCCCTGAGTGAAACGTTTCCTAATAAAATGTTCTAGAGATATACGTCTTATATACGAGAGGAGGCCTGGTCACAGACCGGGCCGCGGGGGCGTTGACCCCCGGAACTCTCTCCAGGTAAACTCCAGGTAAACATAACACACATATGTGCACTGCATACCATTACTGCTGCCATACTTGTCAGACACAACACCACGGAATCTTGCTGAAGAGAAAAACCTTCTTCAACTTGTCTGCTCACCTCTGGCCTCTCCCCCCCCCCCACAAAAATCTGTATTGAATCAATACAATCACTGGTTGGCGAAACCTCTTCAGAATAAAGATAGCCAGGTGCTACATATGTATTTCATTCACCAATTTGTCGTTATTGTAATATATACCATTGCTGCTACGGTACAGCATGGACCAGTAGAGCAACACAGTGATCCGTCCACGCTCCAGCAGCAGCTGAACAACTGTGATGGTACTGGATGTATGTAGAAGTCTGTTCAATAAATATCTTGAAGTGCACATAAGATCAAGTGGTTGTACAATGTACATATACTAAGTAACTGACATCTGAACAAGTGACGTCACTCCCTCTGCACTATTCTTCCAATGTTTTTCACGTCTGCTACGTACATTGTTCCTCACGTATGTTACATTCATTGTTGCAGTGTTTCTCACGTCTAATACTTCCACTGATATATTGTTTCTCACGTCTGCTACGTACATTGCTACAGTGTTTCTCACATCTGCTACGTACATTGTTCCTCACGTCTACTACGTACATTGTTCTTCACGTTTGCTACATGCATTGTTACATTGTTTCTCATGTCTGCTACGTATATTGTTCCTCACGTCTGTTACGTACATTGCTCCTCACGTCTGCTACGTACATTATTCCTCAAGTCTACTACGTACATTGTTCCTCACGTCTGCTACGTACATTGTTCCTAACGTTTGCTACGTACATTGTTCCTCACGTCTACTCGGTACATTGTTCCTCACGTCTGCCACGTACATTGTTCCTCACGTCTGTCTTGTTCTTAAAGAATCTCAATATTGCACGATGTTGTGTAAATTAAGGTATATAAAGGACTTTATTGCAGTATGATCTCTACAGATTTCGTACCTCCCATGAATTTAAATAATAATAATTTTAATAATGATATCAATAATAATAATAATAATAATAATAATATAATAATAATAATAATAATAATAATAATAATAATAAAATAATAATAATAATAATAATAATAATAATAATAATGATGATGATGTCAATAATAATAACAATAATAATAATAATAATAATAATAATAATAATATAATAATAATAATAATAATAATAATAATAATAATAATAATAATAATAATAATAATAATAATAATAATAATAATAATAATAATATGCTTGGTTGTGGTTAATTTTATGTTCTTAGGTTTCCAAACCAAACCCAATCTAACCTAACTTGCCCAAACAAAACTTAGCATAATCTAACAACATATGACTCAGCCTAACAAAATCTGACTCATCCTAACAACACCTGACTCGGCCTAACAGCACCTGACACAATACACAACCTAACAATATCTAACTCATCCTAACAACATCTGAATCAGCCAAGCACCTGACTCAGCCTAACACTTGACTCAGCCTAACACCTGACTCAGCCTAACAACACCTGACTCAGCCTAACACCTGACTCATCATAACAACACCTGAATCAGCCTAACAATTGACTCAGCCTAACAATATCTGACTCATCCTAACAACGCCTGAATCAGCCCAACAATAGACTCAGCCTAACAACACATGAATCAGCCTAACACCTTACTCAGCCTAACAACAATTGACTCAGCCTAACACCTGACTCAGTCTAACAACACCTGACTCATCCTACCAACATTTGTATCAGCCTAACAACACCTGACTCATCCTAACACCTGACTCAGCCTAACACCTGACTCAGCCTAACAACACCTGGATACGAGTATCTTACTACCAAATGACGTTTCGCTCAGTACAAGAAACTAGTTTTAGTAGAGTTAAAAAATCGACGCTGTTGACTTCGTAAGAACATTACCCCAGTGAAACTGGTTCGTGACAGGTCGTGCAGGTTCAAGACTCACCGTGCACGATGAATGGCAGGTCGTGCAGGTTCAAGACTCACCGTGCACGAGGAAGTATAGATCGTGCAGGTTCAAGACTCACCGTGCACGATGAATGACAGGTCGTGCAGGTTCAAGACTCACCATGCACGAGGAAGGGCAGGCCGTACAGGTTCAAGACTCACCGTGCACGATGAATGGCAGGTCGTGCAGGTTCAAGACTCACCATGCACGAGGAAGGGCAGACCGTGCAGGTTCAAGACTCACCGTGCACGATGAATGGCAGGTCGTGCAGGTTCAAGACTCACCGTGCACGAGGAAGTATAGATCGTGCAGGTTCAAGACTCACCGTGCACGATGAATGACAGGTCGTGCAGGTTCAAGACTCACCATGCACGAGGAAGGGCAGGCCGTGCAGGTTCAAGACTCACCGTGCACGATGAATGGCAGGTCGTGCAGGTTCAAGACTCACCATGCACGAGGAAGGGCAGGCCGTGCAGGTTCAAGACTCACCGTGCACGAGGAAGTATAGATCGTGCAGGTTCAAGACTCACCATGCACGAGGAAGGGCAGGCCGTGCAGGTTCAAGACTCACCGTGCACGATGAATGGCAGGTCGTGCA